CAATACTTCGCTGTTTGGGGAATTAAGGAGACCCCGCTTGCTGTGACAAATGACATCCAGGAAGGGCAGCGAGAACATGCATTGCCGGCAACACCAGCACCGACGAGAGCACGCACTGGTGCACTAGCAAGACGGGCGATTTTATTGATGATTGTTGTCTACATCGCATATTTCACCAGCCCAAACCTCCTGCCGCTCTCGATCCCCTCGAGGACGAGCAAGCCAGGGTGGCACCGCCGGGTTCTGCAAGGCTGCGGGCACAAGCAACGGAAGCATTCTTGAACCACTCAAGCGGATCTAGATCTGCAGTGTCGAGACATAGGGTCCGGCCACCAAGTGCTACAAGAGCTCGGATCTGCAGAGAACCCTTGACCCTTTGGCCCAAGCTACCACCGCCTCAGCGCTGGTAGCAGCTCGGCCCGACGAACGACGGGTCCCCTGAAGCCATGGCGGTGTGATCGATGCCTCAAAGGAGCCATCACGGTTTCGTAAGGCTTTGGGGTCTCTGGCACCATTACGAGTTCAGGGGTTCATGGGTCCTGGAGAAAGCGAGCCTTGGTTGTCGGCTTGGCCGCGGCGCTCCGCTGGCTCCGCTTGGCCGTGTCCTTCGCCTTCGTAGGTCGTGCCTCGGCCTCATCATGCTGGAGCGACTCCTGGGAAGGGAGGCACATTTTCCCAGTGCGGTCGCAAGCTGTGCCTTGGGGTGTGCAGCTCACAGCCGGCCTGTCTTATTTCCGATCGACATCGACATGTCAGAAAGGCTTGCGTAGAAGAAAATGTGTGTCTAGGACACACTCAGAAGCAGGTACATTCGCTGAAGCCATAAGCATCCGTGGCAAACGCTGCACTGTCACAGCATTGGCCGAGCACTGGCCCCAATCTTCAAATGAGGCCCCTGGTGCTTCCAGGCTTCCACCAACGAGGCTTTAGCCCGAATGTGGTGAGTCCCTGATCTTCAAATGAGGTTGATATAAGATTAAAATTCCACGCTTGCGATGCTTGGTCTTCCAAGGCAACGCCTCTCTATGAGTTGACATGATCTCTGTACGGGCCCCTATGTCCCTCTCCCCTGAATAATCCCTAGAATTCCGAATACTCAGTGCAGCTCATGTCAAAGGACGAAACTCTTCATGGACGGCGTGGACGCTCACTGCAGCGGTGCGATTCTGCTGAAGTCCGTCGACGTCGGAGGGAAAAGCTTCTGCCAAATGGCAGAAGCAAATGAAGGGGGGCTGAAATGATTTGAACCGTGCCTGGCGTTAACAGAGCCTGGCTTGCCCGAGCGAAAGGAAGCGGAATGTCTTTTCGACACACTGCTACGAACTTCCTCCTCGCATTCAGCACACACGGAGGTTTTCCTCCACAGGTCAGTAACCAGAACAAAGCCATGCATGGCATCCACGTAGTTTTGCGCATATGCCTGGGCAAGGTTCAGAATGTGATAGGAGCGCCTCATTGACGCGTGAAACTGCTCGATTTTCACGGAGATGACCTGAACGGCAGACGGCAGTTACCGGAAATGACCAACACCCAAACGCAGTTGCTGAGCACATACCAGCTGGTTTGACTAAGGGGGGCATGGGCTGAAGGCCAATTTGATTGCCTCAGAATCCTCCACAGCCGAGAGCTCACCCAGATGAAGCCACGGAGTCCACAAGCACATCTCCACCAGCCAGCAGTGCCCAGAAACGGAATGCGTTGCAGAACCGAGCAGGTACTCAAGGCGACCCGTCGTCAAGAAAAACGCCTTTCGTGATCTTGGTGAGATTAGGGCTAGGGCAGGACGGCCACATACCGGGACTGCGAATTGAAAACAGCCAGGCCTCTGAAGCAACATTGCCAGCTTCGAAAATCGTGTCGGTCGCTGCAAAAGTTCGTTGCTGGAGGGCCTTATGAGCTAGCCGCTGCAGGGCATCGTCGCGACAGCTCGCCGGGAGGAAAGCCACGAAGTCCAGCTGCCTGCGTGCGCACTGAGATGGCGACCAGTCCCCACCCCCACACTTCCACAGCAACGAGTTCTACGACAGCTTTACGACGGGACAGGTGTCTAATGATAGTCACTTACAGCAAGCACACCGGAGCCAGAGCGGCATGAAGCCCCCTAAAAAGGCTTGAACTCAGACAATGCCTGAGGCAACTCTCGTAGCGTGCACACTGCAGCTCACCGCGCAAGGGCTTTGAGAGGAGATCCAGAAGCGGGACCGTGGTTTCCAGCAATGTTTGCTGCTTCAGGTTGTAAGCATGCTCCAGGAAGCCTGCAAAATACACCGAACGCCGACCACTTCGGTGCTCGGCACTATCGAGTTTCCGGGCTTCTAAGGCAAACCCAACAGGAAGCTGCCCCGAAACCAAACAGAAACCCGAGGTTGGCCAGGAAGCAGTGGATGCGCAGGGAGAGCTCCGGCGGGATCCCATGCTTGCCTAGGAACTTGCCAAGCTGCCGGAAGAGGCGCCGCCTCTCTTCTGTGCTCTTCGACAGAGTGGCCGTCTGGCTGGCAATCGTCGCGAGCAGCGTCGAAAAAACCGCCAAAGCCAACAACGCGAACAGAATGCCAAAAGCTCGCTCGGCCGTGTTCACGGGCTCGATCTCCGTGCCGCCGAAGCCAAGCTGGCAAAAGGTCCTGCCCAAGAGTCAGAACGCATCTGCAGGTATCGGCCCGTCTCGACTCTCTGCTGCGATGGATAGAACTGTGCTACCTTGCACCATGTTGCTCCGAACTGAACTGGGGCTCATGCTGAAACAATGCGTGATCTATCGCTCGTGTATCACAACTGTCAGGTTGATGCCGAAGTGAAGAGGGTGCTAAAGCAGCTTGAGTGCCGAGTCAGCCGTCGAGCTAGGGAGTGACACACTTCGAGCCTAAAGCATTGAACGGTATGAGATGAAAGGAAGGTCAGGCAGGTGTTACCAGATAAGAGCATGGAGAGATGAGAGCCGGCTCCTTTGTGCGCCCTTGCATCCCTTGCAGCCTCTGCACGCACCGCACCCCAGTCCCGGACCCCCTTCCCAAAAGTATCGCACACTCGACAGAGCTGCACAGGGTCGCCTGCTACAGAAGGCTCGCTTCACGAACAATATTTGCCTCTGTAGACTGTGCTTGGGGAAGTGGTGAACCCAAGGCGAGGGAGACACCACAGAGGACCGGGCTTGCTGGCAGCCACATGAAGTGCGAGAACATGCAGAAGAAGTAGGAGTGCAATGGTCCAAATCCTTCTTTGATGCGTTCTAAATGTGGTGCCGGCGCCGAAACTGTCTTGTTGCTGCCGCACGCTACAGACCTCGCATGTAGGCAGTTCCGGCCATCTGACCTGACGCGCATTGACGCGTGGTGGATTTCGGAGTTTCACTCCATCTTTACCGACGCGCATACAGGAAATCACACGGACCTACAATGCAGCCCAACGTAACAGTCACTTCCATACCACTGACGCGTCGACTATAGGGCATGAGCAAGCTTCTGGTTTCCCTGACGCGTGCCGAACCCCAGCTGAAGCGGACCGAACCCAAAATGTAAATCTTGCACAAACTTCCACAGGAGGGGTTTTCAACGTCTGGTGTCCAGTGAAGCGAAGTCGAGTACTTGTAAGAGACGGTCGCGCTGTCCAGGTTCTGGGACACCCAGCCAGGAGACTCCCAGGAGCCAACGTAATACCTTGGTGCGGCTCTCGGCTCCGCAAGCCTTTACTCTGCTTCCTCAAAGCTGCTCGCTTCTACGGGTGCTATCCTTGCAGCCACCAAGCCAGCAGCAAGCGGTGAGGTGGTGAATGAGCAGGAGCTGGACGGAGATCTGCACGATGTTCGCATTAGCGCTCAGCATTTCGGACTTGAAACGGCTCTTGATGCCCTCCGCCATCTTGCTCATTCCTCAACTCAGACAGCTCAGCGTAGCACCCAAAACGCTCTGCCGCATTGACACTCGAAAGCCCTCTCAGCCTGAAGCAGAAAGGCGCGGAGTGCAAGACAACAAGACACGCCTCTACAGCCTCAAGAGAAAGACAACAGGACGTAGAAGTGGTACCCATAAAAACTCATCATCCCCATGTCCGTCGCGAGTCTGGTAAGCCGGACCAGCCGGAGAAGGAACTGTGTCAAGCGAAGTGTGTCCATCGGATCCCGTGGCATCTGCTCCCCGAAGATCGCCACACAATCCACCACAACATAGAGCACATCAAACAACAGCCACTCTCCAGCATATCTTCTTGCAATTTGGACGTACCGGCACTCCAGCTCACCTTTCCGGTAGTATGGTGTGCAGAAGGCTATCAAGATGTCCAAAGTCCAGAAGCACGGAAGCAGCAGAGGGACCCCGTTCAGGGAGCTTTGCGCAGACGGCCACTTCTCGCTGAAGACGTCCAGTGGCCAAAGCAGAAGGTCAAGAATCAGGCAGAGAAGGCCTCGGGATTGGGATCGAATGGCTTCGACGACGCAAGCAGCTGTAGATTCTAGTTGCTTTTGTGCATCTGACACCGTAAGCCGCGGGCTCAAAACGTCCCAGGTGCTGCGCAGGATGCCAGCCGGGAGTAGGATGGACCTGCCTGCAAGCTTCTTGGGCACGGTGGTGTCGGCTTGCCCCGATGCCAGTGTGCTGACGCTGCTCCGACGACGCACCGAAGGCGACGTGTCGGAATTCCAGTTCGATAAGGGAACAAAACACACCTCCACAGTTTGCTCGGTTTCGGGGAGGTCTTGGGCCTTCAAGCAGTGCAAGTGCCCGGAAGGCAGAAGGGGCACAAGCTGCTGGAGCTTGTGCCCCGTTGCACGCGCGGCCCGCTCATCCAGGGATTCTCTCATTGAGGCAGAGGCGCCGGCGCCGGTTCCGAGGCCGAGATCATCAATCGTTGGGCGACGGGCTCTTAGCGACTTGCCGAGTTGGATCGACCTTGAAGAAGAGTCCGGCCTCTCCTCCTCTTTGAGGGAAATCGGGGAAGGGACACCCTGAGAGGGACCCTGGAGGCGTGCGATCTCGGCTTCGTAGCACTGCCCGAGTGCCCGGTATACCTCCCAGAAGTTCGGCAGGTCCTCGTCATCACAAACGCTGAAAGACGACTGCCCGCTCACCTCGCGGTTCATTGAAACACAAAGGCCGAATCTAGGCCCGAACCTGGGCGGCGCTGGCTGCGACCAACTTGAGCATGAGGGGTTCTGCATCGTGCGACCATGCGTTTTGAGTCAACCTGTGACGTACCAGTGGTCTGACGTGTTCTAAGCAAGCTGACTGGAACACCCTCTTTAGGCTTCCCCCCATAAACCTCCCGGGTGACCCCTCAGCTCCTGGAAAGCCTTCAGGCTGTGCGAACTGAAGTTCCGCTGCTTCCATAGAAAACCATCACGGCAGAGGAAGAGTTCGCTGCTGTTCCAGTTGCCTGGGCTGAAGCAGTCTTTCCTTGCAAGAGCATTGGGATTTCGGCCGCGGGCATTGGGACTCCTGATGGCCGACGAGCAGCAATGGATCAAGCGATATGTGAGCAAAGGATCGTGGGTGACTGCCACGATCCCTCCTGCAAAAACTCCGGCTTTAAGGACAAGAGGACTGCCAAGAGATCAAAAATGAGCAAGAGCTGCAAGGCACCCCACCTGGAAACTTCGCCAGCGCCTCGGCCAAGGCTCGGCAGGCCTCTGCGTCCAAATGGTTCGTGGGCCTCTGCTGCGCAAAGCCGAGAGCTCACAAGGCGCAGAGAGAGAGCCGAAGAGAGCCGAAGGCCCCCCACTCATCCAGAAGCAGGATGTGAGCGGGCGACTGCGAAAGGACGGCTAACCTCAGAGGCAGAGCTACTAAGGCACGGTTGTTGCAGTTGGGGGAAGCGCGCTCCTCCTGCGACGGGCAGCTTCAAGCTAGCCTTTTGTCCACCACTCAGGGCGTCAACAGGGACCTTCGTGGCCAGGTCCCCATCAAGGCCGTGGCTACTCAGGACCTAGGTGCACTCTGTCGCATCTTATCGGCTCGCCCCCCCCCCACCGAATGCCGCAGCATCCGATTCAGTCTTGGGAGTGCAGCTTTCACATCGAGGTACACTTGACAACTGTGAGCGACGGAGCCACAGTGGCTCGAAACGAAAGCAGGTCACGACGAGTCCCTGACGCCTCGGGCAACCTCCAACAGCCGCTTTTCGCAGACCGACTTGGAGGCTTTCGGCTTCGTCAGAGAAGTGCCCGAGGAGTCCAATGCCTGCACAAATTCACCCGAGCTTAGCTTCTACAGTAGACTGCGGTGCGGAGACACCGAGCGGACCTTCTTGGAGGCTGTGAGGCGGGAAGTGTGGGTGGAACCAGCGTGCTCGGCCAATTCCTGGTGGCCGAAGGAGAAAGCAGTCAACGCACACTGGCAAAGCCTCCATGCCATGCCCCATACCTTGGGCCGGCATCCTTCCCCTTCGATCCCAAAGTCCTCACGGCACTGCTTGAGCATAAACTCCGCCGCAGTGAGCTCGGAATTCGCATCCAGGTCCTGACGTCTCGCATATATCGGCCCAGAGCTGACCTCTGCGAGCATCGCATGCGTTCCGGGGTGCGCCTCGGTGACCTGGGAGAAGTAGCCGACTTTCAGCCCGGGCGTGCGGTCGACACTTCCCCGGCCTGACGGCACCCGCACGACAGGCTGCGGCTAAACAATCGCAGCTAGCAAATACAAGTAGCAGGCCTTCAATCGTTCCCCTAAACCCTAAACCCTAAAGCCTAAATCAGAAACTCCCTAAACCCTACAAGCTCCACGACTCTAGGCCGGCCTGGCTCCAGGCGCCCGGCACAAAGCTTCAGGAAGGTGGACTTCCCCCCACCTCAAGGAGCCGTGACGGTGAGAGGGGGGTTTTTCCGAAAACCATCTGCTTCAGGTCATGCCAATCTACTGCTTCTCCGTTCTCCTCCTCGATCACAGACGAGTGTGAGACTACGTTTACATGTTAAGTGCCTCGACTTGGAGCTTGCGACTCCATCCCATCAAATCTATGCTTCTGGTCAACTCCAGATCCCTCTCAAGGCGCAATTGCGATCCTCAATCTATGGATACTGCGGCGGCTTCGGACTTCTGCTACTTTGTGTTGAGCAGAGCGTGAAAGCCTTTCCAGCGACGGCAGGACCTCACGCCGACGCCAAATCCTTTTGCCCCTCCGAAACTTTCAATCCCAGCTGCCGTTCCGGCCCAGCAGCACCACTCGGCTGCGGCCACTGAGGCGCAGTGACTCCACAGAGAGTCCAGCACCGTCTCCTCAAACAAGTACTGCCAGTACAGAACAACAAGCCCCTTCGACACCTCTGAAGCTTAGTTCTTCCTCACAAGTTTAGGCTGATTTCTCCGGCGTCCCGGCAAAGACTGGCTATCGGCACTGGTCAACGTCTGAGGGCCTGCTTGGGGGGGAAGCGTCGGACGAAAGAGCCGCACAATCCACGAACCGGGGTGCCCCCAACACGAAACTCGTTCGAGGGAGTGGTGCAACCGGTACGGGTGCAGTGCAGGTGCATGGTCAGGTGTAACCCCATGACTTTCTCTATGCATGCATGCATGCTTACATACATGCAATTATGACACATACATGGACCGACGTGCAGACACATCTGCATGCACACGTAAGTACGCACACAGATAACACACTCTTTGCAGCAACGACTCGGGAATATGCTTGGCGTTCAGGCTCCAATGCGAGAAGGTAAACTGCAGCCAGGCTGCCGTAAGTGAACTCGACATCGTGCAGCGAAATTCCCTGAGAGACCGGGTCCTTGCGGAGACTTCAGAAGGTGTCTGTGTTTCTTCTACGTGGCCCCTGAGGCTCTTCGAGGTTTCTCTCTTGGAGGCCTTGAGACTGACTTGTGAGTCCTTGCTGGGCTTTCATTTTTCCCTTGTGATGATACCAAGTTACTACGCTTCAGATTGCAGCCGTCTTGGCGAGAATCCCAGATCGCCTCGCCGCTGGGCACCCGGAACTCGAATCGGAGAGGCTTCCGGCGCTGCATTCGGAGCAGATCTTCTTGCGACACGATCTTTCCAGGCAAGGTCTCCAGCCTCGGGTCGGAGCTCGCAGCTTGCAGCGTCTTGCAGCACCTTGCAGTCCCCGCCTCTGCTCCGTCATCCAAATGATGTCCTGACAGCAGCTTCCCTGAGGCAACACCCACACTTGACAGGGGGCGTTTAGGCCCTTCATTCGGCCTTGCAGACCTCGTGCAGAAAGGCCACATCGTGCGAGACGACCTTTCACCAAAAAGAGCATGGCCCCCTCCCCCCCCCCCCCCGGGGGCTTTCTTACAGGCCCTGGGAGCAGAATCCGAGCCAGGGAGCCACGGCTGTGTGCGGGTACTCGGCGATTTGCTCCATGAGCCACTCGCGAGCCCGAAAATCCTGGAAAATTTGCAAGCAAGCGAGGCATCAACCCCGAGGAATTCGAATTCGTGACTGCAGGAGTCCAGGTGATTGGTGGGCTCGTCCAAGAGTAGCAGCTTCGGTCGAAGCCACAATGCCTCTCCACGAACAAAAAGTTGGCAAATGTGGTGCTGCCAGTGCACAGTGCTGCGTGCTGCACATTCGCACACCGTCTTGCCTTGGCCAACTCCACCTGCACAGGGCAAAGATGGAACTAAGCAGATCTCCCCCTCAGCTCCAGGAGACCAGCTCCCCCCAAGCGTCAACAAGCACGAGAGGAAGCAGGAATTCCTGGCCTTCATCCTCCAACCCCGGAGAGCTGCTTCAGCGGCGTGGAGGCCGCAGGGCAGGAGTCGGAGGCCTCCAAGCGATGAAAAGCCAACGAAGGATAGTCAGAAGTATCTTGCGTCTTGTTGCTGAAGCTTCGACGCCTCGGACTCCTGGAATCCCAGATTCCGGAGTATGTGGAGAACCTCCGAGGGAGCGCGCTGCCATTCTTCGAGGTCTGCATGGACCTGACCAGGGCAATCGCTCGGCTTCCCGACCCCATCCAAACTGAGCGCTCCAGTGTAGTATAGCTCAATATAGTCTAATATGGGTTAAAGTAACATAGTAAAGTACTGTAGTATACTATTTTGGCTTTGCTTTATGTTATAGGCAGGGCCCGGTGTTGTCCCAGTTGCTGCGTTCGGCGTCGACCAATTGCTTCCAGAGGCTCTAAAGCCGAGGGGGTCCTAAACAAGCCCCTAAATCTTAAGCATAAATGAACCCTAGGCCCTAAACCCTAAGCATAAATGAACCCTAAGCCCTGGAATCCCCAAACCCCCCCAAAAAAAAAAAAACACAGCAAAAAAACTCTCGACGCCTTCCTCAGCGCCTCAGAGAGCTCCCCCAGCAAAGGCGGCCCGGGCCCGGGCTCTCCCTCGCCGGAAGAGGAGAGACTTCCGGCGGCTTCTTCTGGGTTTAGGGTTTAGGGCTTGCAGGGTTTAGAGGCCGGGAGGGATGGGACGGCGTGCTTAAAACCCAAAAGAACGGACCAGGGAGCCTCCAACAAGGCCGTCAGCCGCTTTGCCTCTGCCAGCAAGCCGCTCCTCTTGGGGCAGGCATTCAGGACCTGACCCAAGTTTCGAGGGCAGGATGCAGCGGCGGAACTTACGACTGGGCTACGAGATGCAGCTATAAGCCTATAAGCTATACCCATAAAAACTCTAAGCACTTGCAGACTCTCTCCAGCCGTTGGGCCTCCTCAATGGCCGGAAGATCATTCCCGGGTGACAGGTGCTGTCCGAGAAGGAAGACGTCCCAAGTCTCCGGTACGGGCAGCTTCCTGCAGGGAAGCTTTTCCTCAGAGACGTTTCGGGCAGTTCTTTGGTTTCTAGCACTTCTCGGCCTCTGTGCCATAAGCCGTAGGAGTGTGCTCTTCCCACATCCGTTGCAGCCGACTAGGCCGTAGCTCGTGCCGCTTCTAGGACGTTCGGCAATCTTCAGCTCCGTGTTCCTGAGAGAAGTCCATGCTTTTGCCCTCACACACTTGCGAAAACTTTTTCAGCCTTCTCGTGCCCTGAGCCCCGGAGGAGGCTTCTGCCGAGGGTCGCCAGGAGGCATCGGGAGCCCAGGAAGACTGACAGGCTTTCTGCCTTCACTGCGTTGTGGGGCGCGTGCGTGGTTTCGGTGAGGACACGGTCGCCGGGAGCTTCTGCCATGGCCGAGTCGCAGTACGGTACTGCACGCAGACAGCAAACTCCGCCTCTCAGAAACAGAACACAAGCAGAGGACTTCGAGGTTGCTAGTCGTTGCGCTGCTACTTTGGGCGGCGGCTGAGCTTCCCTCCGATGTCTTGCTTGAGCCAAGGCTGGGCTGGAGATCAAATCTGCTTCTTGGTGAAACAGCATACAGCTTATCGCAAGGTGACGGAAAGGTGCACTCACGATTACTCCGGACTGACAACCCGAGTTGATGGAGCGCCTTCACTGTCATCTTCACAGCGGACTTGCGACGACCTGCCGTCCGAAAGCGGCAGCTTTCATCGAAAGCATGAGGAATGATCCATCCAAGCGGCGCTTGACCTGCTGTCCCACGTTCACCCAGTCCTGCACCAGCCAGGATTTTACATGCCGCATGGCCCCAAGCTACTTGCGCCGGCCTCCAGGGTTCGTGGCCGAGGGTCAGCAAAGATCTCCTGTGTCGGCACGCAGACCTGCAGGGACATCAGAGCACTCTCAGACAAGAAACCCACGCCCTCATGCAGCTTGCAGGTCCTCCTGGGTGGGAACCGCTTGCGTCGCTGCCTAGCAGTATGGACAGATAGCCGGTTTGGTGTGTTAATTGAGGTACGGCAATGTCAAGCATTCTCGTCATGTAAAACTACGACTACGACCGAAGCACTGCCCTGGATCAATGAGAGTAGCATCCAGCACTTTCGAGAGGCGACTTCTCTGAGTTTCTTCGCATTGCAGGCAGATGCAAAGACTGTCTGGCTTGCAAGCACCAGGATTTGCCTCCGTTGGCACAGGCGCGAAGTCCTCGCAAACTGTGATCAGGTCTCACAAGCAAGGCGCCATGCCTCAAACGACACAACCGAGGACAGAAGCTCTGAGGTCCTCCATGGCAGCCCTTCGACCCATCTCTGCCGGGTAGGTGAAGTTGAGTCGTTGAGGCTTACCTTTAGCCTGACACAGCCTCCTTGAGTAGCAGTTGGAGCCCAAAGCTCGGAGCGGACAGGCATACAGCGTTGGACGTTGGAGCTGTGCAGCGACGGACCTTCCATGCCCTTAGCCTTTTTGTGCCATGGCAGGCAAAGAGGTCTATGGAGAGTCTAAGGAGGGCCTTTGCCCCCGCGCGCGAGTTTCACGCCAAAGCACTGAAGTGAGGCGCAAGGACGCCAAGATCGACCCGATGTGGGGGAGGCGGGAGGCGCTGTCTTCGCGCCCTCAGAGCTCCCCGCAGTCTTCGATGAGTACCTGCGGTTTGGTTCTCCGCCTGGCCTATCTTAAACCCTTGGGGCACCCGGCCTTCTTCGACGGCGTCCCGGACGACGTTCCGACCTCTGGCATGGGCCCGTGATAATCCAGGAGGCGCTGCGGGCTGCTCCGGGCTGCTCCGGGCCTCCTCCATCTTCTTCACCACCTCCAAAAAAGACTCTCCAGAGAGAAGTGTGTCGAAAGAGGCTTATAAAAGCAGTTTGGAGTCTGAAAGGATTGACACAGATGCGAAGATGTAGGTCAATAGGTCGAGATTGGCAGCGGCTACTCTTCTTCAGCCTTCAACAGTCCTGGGTTTCAACGAAATCCAATGCTGTGTCGGTGCCTGCCACAGCTAGGCTGCCCTGCGCCAACAAGCGAAGAAGGCAAAAAGCAAATCTCCACCACCACCACTTCCGCAGCTGTCGGGACTCGGAGTTCAGCTAAGCCCGTGGGCCCTTGGGTGCTCAAATCCAAGTCCAACGGAATGCCTCGGACTCAGCTCAAGTTCGTAATGCCAGAGCTCCAAACTCTCAGTTTGGGAGCGTAGAACGATAAAGCCGTGTCATGTTGGAAAAAGCCGATAGCCCAAACGCCTGGAAGATTTGTTTTTAGTGTATGACTAAACGGACAAGGATGGTCTAACTTTCTAGTAGCACAGGAAAGGGGATTCCATGCAGTCTGCCACATGGGATGCCCGGGCCTCTTCGTAGCCCTCCAGCACCTCTCCGAAGACGACGTGTTTGCCGTCCAGGTGCGGGGTCTCCTGCGACGCGGAGTCGCAAGTTGGGGCTCTTCGAGAGCCATCGCGAACGCCTTCACCGTCAGGAAGAACTGGCTGCCGTTGGTACCAGGACCTGCCTTCGCAAGGAGCGGTCGGAGGCTCTCGCGGGCTCTCCCGGGCTCTGCCCTCACCACTCAGGTCCCGGCATTGGCCATACTAAGCAAGCCGGGCCTTGCAAGCAAGATCTGCTCCTCCCCTCCTTCCCCCTCCTCCCTCTCTCCCCTGCCCCTTCCTTCTCCCGGGACCCTGGCTTGGTGTGCTTGACCCTGAAGTTCTCGTCCGCGAACTTCTCTCCTCAAGCCAGTCTTGCGACTGCCGGGAGGGCGTCAGAGTTGGGTCTTGGGTTTGAAGGCTCTAGCGTTTAATGGTTTGGGGGTTCGGGTCCATGTCGGGGCGTGCATAAACTCCAAGAAAAAACAAGTGCTTTTCAGGGAGGCGTGGAATTTTGTTGTGTGCAGGATGCGCGATTCCCTGTGTCCGGTCCTTTGCAAGCGTTTCATAACATGCCTGGGTCGGAGACTCCAGAATCTCAGCATGCCGGTGGCCGTTGCAGGGGGTGTGTAAAGCCCTTTCCCTTGTGAGTTTTTAAGCACTTCAAATCTGCCGGGGCCAAGCCTCGGGCTCGGGATTTTCAGTTTTTTTCGGGTCTATGAGGCGTGACGGCGGGCTAAGGCTTGAGGTCTTCCTGACGGCCCTCGCGTGGAAGGTTTGGGGATTTGCGCAACCCCTTCAGCCGACAACCCCGTGCAGCCCGTCCCGATGAACTCTGAAAGTCCTTGCTTGAAGCTATAAAGCCATAATGATTCTTGCAGCTAAAGATCCGCGGGCAATTGCGTCTTTTTGTTTTGTCTTGCTCTGGTCAAAGGCAACTTCGTCTTTCTGGGCTTGGGGTTTGGGTGGGGGCCTCCTCTTCCAGTGCAGCCCTTTCGGGCTTTGCTGTCTGATGTGCAGCTCAGCGCTTGTCGAGCTAGCAATGCTAGCAAGAAAGCTGGGATTCGGTGGGATTTGAGGGGAGGCAAGGGGGCATGATCACAGGGTCTTGAGGTAAGGCTCCATAGATCGACTCGCCACCGGTGCCGTTACCGTGGGTGAAGTCCCCGCCCTGCGCCCAGCGATCTTCAGCGTCAAGATCCTCTTTGACTCTTTAACTCTTTGGCTATTGACAACCTTAATCAGACGACGGGAACGATGAGAGGAACAGTCTGGAGCCTGGCACATGAATCTCGGGATGATCCGATGGAAGCTGCATCCCTGGCAAGATCGCTTGCGTCAGACTTCTGCTGCTGTTGCTCTGCTCGAGCTCTTCGTTTTCTCACGACACGCTGCCTTGTAATGCAGTGGCTTGCCGGCCTGAGAAAGTCTTCCGAAAGCCAATGGAAGCTCACCACAGCTTCCCGCATCTACGGTCAAGATATACCGCGCCTTTCCTTCGCCCTTCTCACCCGTGCAAAGAGCTCTGAAGTTTTCCACCTCGGAGGTAAATCATGGAGCAATACCAGGGAGCCCAGGCTAGGAACTGCTGGATGCTTTCTGGGCTCAGTCAGATGCTGTTTTCGGCACCTGACCAGACCAACATGCAGCCGAGGGCATGCTGCCGGTCACTGGCCTGCTTGCCATAGAGGCCCATGACGATTCGCCCAAGCTTCGTCTCGTCGAGGGCAATGTCAAAGAAGACCTTCGCAGGATTCGCACAGATATATAGAATCCCATTCGCATGCTGCATTCTTCAGCTTTGCCTTGTTGGTGATGGTGGTGTCTGGAGGTATGTCCTCGCATTTCACCAGATACTCCCATCTGTCCCACCTGAAACAGCTGAAGCTCCGGACACTGCGCCTCCTGAAGAAGACTGTGTTAAAAACTTTGTGAGACCCCGGCTTGCTCTTCTTCATGAGGGAAATGACGATACATCTCTTCCCGTTTTTGTCCTTGTGTGAGGTGATCAGGAAGCCTCACGTGGCCATCCTAATTCTGTCCTTGTCCAACTCCCAGCTCGATTCATCCGCATCGACTTCCTTCCACAGGAAGTCATCCTCACAGGCGTTTCATATACTACAATGAACTATAATGTGCTATACTATACTATAATATACTATAATATACTATAATATGCTATAATATGCTATAATATAATATACTATACTATACTATACTATACTATACTATACTATACTATACTATATTATAATATATTAAAATATATTATAATATACCATAATATATCATAATATACTATAATGTTACTATAATATTAATATACTATAATATAATATTTTTTCCTATGATATACTATAATATACTATAGTATACGATAATATACGTGCCAAGGCATGACACCTTCTTGACAACCAAGCTCCTGGCCACGATCGGCTCCTGCCCTTTCAGGCCAACCTGTCAACAAATTCGATGTTCGGCGCCAGGCTGAAGATAGGCGAGCTCCGGCCAGCCTTGAGCTGCTTCTTTGTGATCTTGACCTCGGGCAGATGGCATCTTTTAGCCTAGCTTGTATCAATGTAACATTGACATCGAACACGATTGCAACATTGTCTCACGCTGCCACATTGCATTGGAAACAAAACGAAGCAAACATGGATTCAGAAATATGGTATGTTCGCCGCGCATCTTCCACTATGTCACTACTACATTGCTTTATACTGCTTTTTTGGAATTAACGGCACAATGTAACAGCGCCTGCACATGTCACAGCCACCAACACCGCCATCACCACCACTCATGATCCGCAATCCTTTCTATGAGGCCATCCATGATATATGGAAGACACAGAACCATGTTCTTGGCAGGCAGCATCACAGTCTTTGGCTTTTATGGTGTCCTCGATTGGGACGAAGACCTGACCAACGTATCAGTCTGCCTTCAACAACTCAACAAACAGCAAATCGGCCACTGGTATCTGCTCTCTCTGCGAAAAGACAACCTTGATCTCCTCGCTGTCATCTTCGCCGGATGCATAGCACCATTCGTACTTCCCCACTTGCGCCGGCATGGCCTGGCCAAAGCAGCTAAGTCAATGCTAAGCTCTTGGTACAAACAGAAGCAAAAGAGCCGCCTCAAGCGTCCACACAGGCACGTGAGCGCTCACGTGTCTCGGGGTCGCTGGGAGCAACAGCGGCAGTCCGAAGGTATCTCGTCTGAAACCTGATCTAGTGATGCTGACTTAATGTGTCGATTTGACGTGATTGCAAATAAGTGCTCGAGCAGAAGACCAACTGAGGTAAATATACCTGATCGAAGAGATTGCTACGGTCTGAAAACAAGAACCTCAACCTGGGCTAACACTGTTCTGTTTCTCTGGTCTCCTTGCAGTTAACAAACATATTCCCACATGTTATGTGGGCTCTGCAAAAAGTGTTGCCCTAAGAACCTAAATCCTAAACCCAAAACCCCGAGAACTGTGCAGCTAAAGCGGCAAAGCAATCTTCGCCGCTGCACTTGAAAGATGGTGGTGTTGCCCGAAACACACACGCAGCATCCGGAATGCAAAGTGCTGCCAAAATATGCCAAAGAAATACAACGCAGACATTTTTCTATTTTGGCCAAACATGAGTGGATAAGTCCACCAAACAAAAACAAAGCCTGCGTTCGCCTCCGTCCGCTGCAGTACACAGTGAGACACTGATCAGCGCCAAGGGCCACTATGTGGCACAGGCTCCCGACACTGCACATGCTGCTGTTTTGGTAGCAGGCATGGCCTAGACCTGGTGTGGCTGGAAGTAGCGAAATCTTGAAAGCTCTGTCATCTAGTTC